ACTTCAGGAAGTAAATGCTCATCTCTTAAATGTATCTGTTTTTGTGTACTGGGTTTTAAATTTGGGTTTTAACACAGACTGATATTGAAAACTATTTTAAAACAAAAATGAATACTTGATTTTATTTCTGTTTTTTTCTACCACCTTTCCACAACTAAGTCTGAGCGCATCCTTTTCTCAGTACAACAGGAAGCAGTTAGGTCTAGGCTGTTGGCCCAGCCTCCTTCAGGTGGCCCAATCAGTGGCTGCTCATCTGAAACAGGAAGCTGGTCCCATTCCATCACGTAAGACCCAGAGGTGATGGTTTTGAAGCTCTGGTCCTTGTCTCCCAGATGGCAACCCCCAAGAAAGGAGGTGACTACATCCCACCTCGTGGGGCCCTCACTGAACAAACCCTGCCTCAGGGAACTCCAGCTTCCCGCCCCTGCTAGACGTTGTCGAGGGAACTGAACAGAGCCGTCACTGGAGGAAGTGACAGTGGATGCTGATCATAGGCAAACCAAACATTTTGGTGTTTTCTGCTCCCTTGGTCTTGGTCAAGCAGGTGCTCCCCCAAATCTGACAAGAGTTTTACAGACCCAGGTGCAAATTATGTCCTTGTACTGTTCTAAGTACTTACAACCTCCAGAGTATTGCTTGTATGTTACATGCAAGGTTTCAGAGGGACTGGCTGCGTTTGGGTATGAAAAACCTCACAACACAGGATCCTGTCTACCTGGACAGGGCTGCAAGGTGTCCCCATTTTACCAGCAACATTCACAGGAAAGCACTGGAGGGTGTCAGGGCTCCTCACTGAGTTTTCATTCCTGTTTGCCTTTACTCCATCATTTGACTGCATTTTATGTAAATGGTAGTTGGATCAACTTTGAGTCTACAAACTGGGTGCCCTTAGGTTTCTTAGTAAAGTCACATTCTCTCAGTATTTCAGCCACTCTGACAGTCTTGAATATGAATAGCCTTGGGTGGTCACAGGGGAGAAGACGCTGACCCAGGAGGCTCATTCTCACCTCCACTTCTTAGACCCACATGCGTAACTTTTTTTCTACTCACGTCTCTAGTTTTGACCACTTGGGGTTACAGAATTTATACTCAAAACTGGCCTTCCTTTCACAGAGCATTTCCCCAAGCAGTTGTTCTTTGTGGTTTTTCACCTCTAAATCTTGAGCCCCAACATCCGTTAGCTTGGATGAATGAGCCTTACCATGGAGATATTTCTTCACATAAAATGTTCTCTGACCTTGTGGACAATCAGTGGGAATTATGAAGAATGGCTCTGACAGCAGTGGTTCATGAAGAATGAATGGCGGCTCCATGAACAAGATCACGTGCACCTTGGGCAATGGCTAGCTACTCTAATTCTCTATTGGTAGGGGAAGTTGGGGCTCTTTGGGGGGATATCGGGCCAGGGAATCAGCAGAGGTATGTGGCTTGGGCACAGCTTCTCTGTGCCTCAGCTTGCTTAGCTGTGAAGTGGGGATAACAAAACCCCCTCAGAAGGCTATTGTAAGGTCATTACTAAAGGACATTATAGTGGTCTGAGTTGGTCTAGAACATTCCCTGATATTTTCACTTTCAATAAAGGAAGTCAGGATTAGAATGTGATTTACCTTGGACTTCTAGGCCTTTAAACACTCACCTTATTCCTAAGCTGCATCCAGCTGCAAACGATTTCCTGTCTCATGATTTCATCTTCCTTTGATTCATCTCATCAAAGCTGAGGCAATCACTGTGAACAGAGGTAGCAGAGCCCTTGGCTGCCCTCAACAGCTATGGTGGCATGGGCAACGGGTGATGGGGAAACAGGAGGAAACAAGCAGAAAAGCATGTCGCCGACAAGGCAAAGTGAAGCCCAAATGAAGTGGGGCAAGGGTGGCCTGGGCTTTGGTGCTGGGAAAACTGGACCACATTGAACGAGCTCCCCTGGATTCGGGAAAGTGTGTGGAAACACAGACAGGTGCCTTCCATCAGTGACGATCCCTTCGGCAGTAATGCGGGTAGCCTTTCCCTCCTCCTAGGATTCCCACAGTCACATGATACGTACACTCAGGACAGGGCCCGATCCCAAACAACCATGAATGCTCGTGGAGCTTACTCTCACTGGACCCAAAGCTGTAGCTGGTATTTCCGAACACGCCAGCACCTTGGAACCACCAGAGCTGAGCTCCCTGGAGCAGGGCACCGCGTGCCCCCCTCCCCCTCCACAGACACGCTGAGAACCCACTGCAGCTCTTCTCCCAAAACGAAGGATGGAGAAGGGATGCGCCACAGTTGTCTTCCCAGGACTTACTCTCAGCATGGATACTTGTCTCTAGGAAAACCAAGAACTTCGTTTTTTTTAGTTGCCTGACTAGTACCAGTGAAAACCTGCCCGTTTTCCTTCCACTCAGGTCAGGGAAGGTCTTCTGGGTAGGGCTGGGTCCACTTGGGTCCAGTGGCCACTGGACTGGGGGTAGACGGTGGCTGCAGGGAATATGGGCCTACACCCGCCCTGGCACTTGACCAGCTGGCTCCAGCAAGGTTCTGGACCCCTGAGAGTCTGCAAGTCCTTTCTCGGCTCAGAGGATGGTCATGAAGACGGGAGGAGTAGCTCTTTGTTCTACACGCATGTGTACCTCAGGCTCTGCGAGGAACTAGGCCCTGGTATGGGAACTCCGGGCCTTCTGGTCATGAGCCCCGGGGTGGAGGCTGGGCTGCCAAGACCCCTAGCAATCCGGTGGCCTGAAGACAAGTCCCCTCCTTTCTCTCTCTTGTGACAACCCAGGGCGGGGAGGTGAGCTGTTCTTACACATTTGTTTGGGGGGGGGGGGTCCTGCTTCTCTGCCATCCCCGACGGCATCGAGCTCCAGCACGGGCTGGGCCAGGACGCAGGCCTGTTCTTGGTCCAGCCGCGAGAAGGGGCTCCTGTCCTTGTCACAGGACCACACCCAGCAGCCAAGGAGTCGGAAGTCAGTCCCTAGCCAGGGGGCCGTGGGTTCATGGAAGCACAGCCTTATTTCAGAAGAAGGGGGAATCTGAAGGGGATCGTGGGATCCCAGACTGTAGCAATCTGCTGCAGCCCAAATCCCTGCCAGCGAGCGGAGGTAATCCTATCCCCCAAAGTTTTAAGAGGACAATTCAGACTCAGTCTTGGGACTTAGAGACGCCGATGACGGAGGCAGAAGGGACACCAGGGCTCCATTTCTCAGCAGCTACCAGAGCGCGCAGGCTTGGGACACCAACTGGGCGAATTCTGGCACAAACGCTTCAGCTTTTCTACATCTGATTTCTGATGTACCCCTTGCCTTTACTCTGGAACTTGCAACGTGGCCGAGGATGGGAGCCAGGCCCCAGTGCTGCGGGAGCTCGGAGAGCCGGGGTGTGTGGCTGCCTACAGGGCATTTATTTCCCAAACAAGATACTGTTACGGATTCGCAGTTCAGACTCCTTCCTTCCCCTCCCCTCCTGTCCCCCCGCTCTAATGAGAGAATCTGACAACCCCGAGCCTCCAACAGTGGACGCCCCCGCCCCGAAAGCCAAACATCTCTGTTCTCCTTACCCCCCAATGGGAGGTGCTGGCCAAGCAGGGGAAGGACATGGCCAGCCTGAGGCCCTTGTCTAGGCCACTCAGGATCGAATGAGATGAAAATGAAAGCAGCCAGGGCGCGGGCTGGTCTTCAGTTAACAGCTGTTCCCTAAGAAGAACACTTGTCCTATTTATATCCATAAAAGCAGTTTACTAAAGAAGTGATATAGCAATATTCATCCCAAACCTTTGCTCAAAATTCTCACTTCACCTTTTTTTTTCATTAAAAATGATTTCTACCTTTGAAATGTCCCAGAAAGTATGGCCTCTTTGTTTTCCGATCCTCTGAACACATTATCAAAGACAGATACTTGTTAATGTCATGTGAGCATAAGAAGAGATTTATAAACCAGAAATGTATTCTCTGGGAGCCAAATCAGAAACAACTCCGTGAATAAGCTGTATCAGTTTCACTGGTGAAGCCCTGGGATAAAGCAGCACCTGAGTCAGGTCTGTTTGCCCTCTGCCCTCAGGGTCACATGTCTTCAGACACGGTCCCAGGACGATGGCAGCACAGCCGGGCACGGGGGGGGCATCGGCCGGGCCGCCTTGCTCAGGCCAGCCCAGGTGGAGGGCCTGTCGGGGAAGGCCGGGTGGCGTGCAAAGCACACAGCTTATTTCTGAGGCCTCATTCATTGTGGACCAACAGGATCAGATGGCAGAAATGCGTTGCTACAGGCTCTCCATACACTACGAGCCACAACGGCTTCACCCCGGGGGCAGGCCAAGTTCACAGGTCCAGGGCATCTGCCCGGGGTCTTCAGCTCTGGCCCTGGGCACCCGTCTCCTGCCATTCAGAACCCACCCACCAACGGCAGGTGCAGACAGCCGCTGTTCCCTCCTGAGACAGCCAGGAATGCTCAACGTTCTGAAGTCATCGTGAAAACTGCGATAAAAGAACTACAGAGCAGAGTGGAAAAAATGCTAGACGGTTCCAGCGGATGCCGCTGTGCAGCCCTCCTTGGATGGTGTCTACAAACATCATAAGCAACCGGTCGGCTTGCCACCGTCCCGCGAAGCTGCTTTGCTGCCAGAGGCTTAGCTACCCTCGCTGGCCAGGTGGGGCGGGATTCCTTTGTCCCCAGGACCTCCCTTCCCAGCCAAGCTTCACTGCTGCTACATTTTACTGCTCTGTAAAAGGCCAGTTAAGCCAGGAGTCCGAGGAAATTTTGCTTTCTGCGAAATGATCTTGCCAACAACAGTTACGAAGTCCTGATGAAGTTTAGAGACAAGGTCTGATCAGAGGTGCCCACTGGAAGCAGAAGCCTCGAGGAAGTGAGGAACAACAGTGATTGTAATCTGAGGGGTCAGATTCAGTTCTGATACAGAATCATCTCGAAAATAAGCCTATGCTGCTGGCTTGAACTCCCGTGAGCGCCGGCTACCCTGCGGCACGTCCGCTTGGCCTCTCTCGCTGTCCACGCTCCCTGCTCCCCGGCTACATCCTGCAGAGCTTCAGTGGAAAGTTCTCCGTGATGAGGTGATCCGCGTGAAGCAGCACAACGATGTTAACCTCAAATTCTGAGAAGAGAAAGAACGGGCGTTATGCTCACCTGCCCCAGCGGCAGACACCCCACGCCAACGGCACCACAGGCGGAACAGGCTCCAAAAGGCTGGGGCGGGGGGGCGCGGCGCCGGGGGCTGTGGGGTGTCCGCACCTGCGTCCCAGGTACATCACCCCAAGCTTCCGGGAGAACCAGCGAGGACAGCGACACTGGCCTCTGACCGCCTCTGGCGTGCTTTCTCTAAGGAAACGTGTCTCCTGGCCTTGGGACAGTAAGGGGGGGTCTGCTTCCCAACCACACCTCCCTTGTCCTCTGTCTTTACTAGAATCTTCTAAAATCCTTTCAGTTCTTTCATACTCTTTTGCTTTATTTTTCCACTTGTGACAGTTCTTAACAGAAGAGCTGACCCCCGACGGGCCCAGCGGTCCGGGTACACGTCTCCCACCCCAAATGAGAAACAGTGGCCAGAAACAGCGCGCAGTTTAATTGCTGTTGTTTGGGTAGTGATTCATTTACCCGAGACACCTGTTTACACATTGTCTCTTGTTGACAAGAGGAAAGGGGTGTGCGCGAGCAGGGAGCTTCGTGCCAAAGGGAGAAGGCCTAGCACCGAAGCAGCTCAGCCCTGTGGAAGGGGCTTCGGCGTCACCGCATCGCAGACCCCAGTGGCCGGAGTCCTGAGGACAATGTCCCAGCGTGTGGCTGGCTGCCTCCGCCAAACACTGGCCATGACAGAGGCCGTGCGCCCGCAGCACTGGCCTCCTACTTTGCTCACTTTGATAATCGTCATGGCACTAGAATGGCCCTCTGGGATTCTGGTCCCCATTCTCTGCCACCATTCCCCCACGTACCTTGCTGTCCTCCCCTGGAGGGAGCGTGGTGCGGCTGGACGCCCAGCAGGCATGCAAGGCCCACATTAGGGAGCTGGTGCTGGCTTTCCTTATGGCAGAGCAAACATTCCCCCGGGGCACCCTAAACTCTGGGCGGGTTCAGGCTGGAGGCCGGCCTCGGGCCCGACTGTGCACCAAAGGTGTGGGCACCGGCAGAGATGAAGGGGGCACATGAGCATTCTGCCCGTAACTCGGCACCTGGGGCTCGCTCCCACCTCCCCACCTGAGACTCAGAGCCTAACCTTGGCTGGCCACGCGGACGGCAGCTCTGGGCCCACGGGAGGCCGCGGCGCTCTGGGATCGTGCCCACCCCCTGCCGCGGGCACTCCTGTGTGGCGAGCCTCAAACCAGACGAAACTAAGGATCAGGCATAAGGAGCATTACTGATTACAGGCACTGCAAGCAATGTTACGTGGGCACTTTCTAAATCTGATAGAAACAGCAGGCTGAAATCTAGGTGCTTAAAGTAGAGCGTAGCAGAAAAAAAAAAGTTTAGTCCTCTTGAAGTTTATGTAGAAAAACCAAGGGAGAAATCAACAGATAAGCTCCCCCTTCTAACTTGAAATCAAAGGACTCTGAAGTAAAATACTGCCTTGAGAACACTGTGCTGGTCGCCGTGCGAGTGCCTTTGGGAGGGCACGAGGCAGGCTGGCCTGGGGGTGCCTGGGCAGCCGAGGGCATCACCCTGCGCTCTAGCCCCCTGGCGCCTCGCTCTCTGTACTGTGCGCGTAGACTACCCGTTCGATAATAATCATGCACATCTTTTTTGAGAACAGTCATGGCAGCTTTAGCTTGGGCCAGATCTGCCCCCGTGCGGCCTTCCAGCACACGTCGCCGTCCTTGTCGGTATTTGGCAAAGAGCTGAGTCTATGCCCCTCTTTGCTCCTGATGTGCATGTCCTGACCCCATTATGTGCTTGCTCTGATACAACATTGCCGATAAAAGCACTCTAGGGTCTCCACAAATAACTAATCATGGAAAATGACCAAGACATCCTGAGCTGGTGGAACGGAAGCCTTCGCGATGATCAGCGCTCACACTGGATTGTCACACTTGAGTCTCTGCCCAGATGCCAGCCTATCCGAGGAGCCTCCCTGACCTCCTCACGCTCCCTGCAGGCTTGCTCCTGGCGGCGTCACTGTCCCTGCCCTAGCCCGCACCGACAGGGTGGTGCTGCCTCAGGACGGGTACGGCAGCTTCTCGGGGAGCTTTTCTTGAGCAACCGGAGGACCCAGTGCTCTGCGCTGAGCCAGCCGAGAGCAGACCAGTGTGTCTGCCTCGGGGGTGCTCGGGGGCCCTTCTGTGGGCCCCACTATCATGGGAGAATCCGGCGGGCCCACGGGCATGGGGAGCTGGTGCGCTTACCCACTTTGAAGTTGGTGGTTTCCAGCGTAGGGCAGGTGAACAGCCGGGGGAACACCATGTAGATGGGGATGGAGAGGCTCCGACACACATCTCCATCAGCGATCTGAATATTCTGAATCTCTGTGGCATCTCGGGCATAGCCTTCTGCACACCCTGCAGAAGGCAGAAAGCACCGTGTGCTCAGAGAACAGGGAACGTCCGAACAGCCTGATCAACAGGCCCTCGGTGACCACTTCTGCCACTGGTTCTACAGGATCTGGAGTTCCCTCCCGTCCGCATCTCACTTTCCCAGACAGACGTTTCTTGGAATTGAGGGGCGCGCTCTTACTTTTGCTTCCACCGCGGCGTGTGAGACGCCGACCTCAGTGGGCCCTTACCACAGGTCTCCACGCGGACCAGCTGCAGCTCTATGCTCTTGATGGCGGCCTCCGAGCTCTCAACCACCAGCTCCCCTGTCAGCGGCTGTGTGATGACACAGTTGGTGGAGTTGAGATGCCCTCTGATGAGAAATTTGGGGAGCAAGGCTCTCTAGAACAAAACAAAAACAAGACATCGGGAATGGAAAGTGTCGAGGGAAATCACTCCAGATTCAGTCACTTGGTACAAATAAAAACTGAAAACAAAGTTGGGTGATTTTTATAAAATCCCCTAGGACCCTATTTTACAAAATGGGAAAAAGGGACAATGGTACTTGTATCTCCTGTCAAGTTCATGAACAGACTGAATTATTCAACAACTGTCTGCGGATCCCTGGTGCTGACTCTGGCTGGATTGAACGGCCAGCTCCCACAGGGTCCTCCTGGTTGCCTCGATCTGACCTGGAACACTCCTTCTTACCAAGCGATACGACATGAAAACTCCTGAGGAAGTTGCCAGGAGTGTTTACAGGGAATCGGTCACACACCAGCCCCAAAACATTTTAAAAAGAGAATCAATTGAAAAATGCTCCCAATTATGCAATTTTGAAAAGCTAAGGCACGTCTTTTATTTCAAGGACATTTAAAGAGAACAATTTTCACCAACGCTTGACTAAGACCTTCTGGACCTTTCCTCTGTAGACCTAGGAACCCAGTCATGGGTAGACGATGATGTTCTTGTGGGAAGCAACTGTCCTAGAACACGTCACCCTGCTGGTCCCAGGTGCTAAAGCTAAGTTAGAGTTTAGAGCACCACTGTCTCAGAAACAAAATGCAGCCACAAATGTGAGCCACGGAAGTAATTTAAAATTTTCTAGTAGCTATATTTTAAAAAGTAAAAGGAAACAGCTAAAATCAACCAATATATCCTAAATATCACTTCCACATGTAATCAATATTAAAAAATTACATTTATATTCTCTTCCTCTTTGAAATCCAGTCAGCACCTTACATCTATGGCCCAGCTCGGCTCTGACCAGCCACACCTTGAGGGCCAGTGGTTGCCGTGGCTGGTGTTCACCCGTCGTGGGCGATGGAACTGGACAGGAGGGAGCTCTGTACCTCGTGGCCCACAGGCAGAGAGCTCGAGAAAAGCCTTGATTCAAGACAAAGTTCTAACAACAACTAAAACTAAAGAAGCTATTTGTTTAGAAAAATAAAAAGCAGTAGCAACCTACATTAAAATTCTTTTAGGCAACTGATGAAAAAGAAAAGCTCTCCACATCCGGCCTAAGATCCTGACTGAACCTTCATTTTACCCTTTCCTCCCAGGGGTGTGATGTTAACATATACAAATAAAAATAAACTACACCGAGAAAGCCTATGTGGGACGCCACATGGAGACAACCCCAGCCAAGTGTTTCTGTGCATGAAAGTGTACAGGGAGGCTCCCAAGAGCTCAGGGGACCACGTCTTGAGGTCGGGGGCACACGAGCATCCCCAGCAGGGCCCGGGGCAGCTCTGAGATCAGAGGCAGCGCCCACCCGGGGAAGGGGCAGTTGGGGGGCTGTGAGTGGCCTCTGGGGTCAGCAGGTGCCCTGGCTGCCACCACAGCTTCCCTCAAGGGGACTTCCCCGCCCCCCCTCCCGGACACTCCCAAAGCAGGCTGAGCGAGGCACGGCAAGCATTTACAGCCATTTACAGCCACAATGCAGGACAACGAGCTACCCGAACACCCTGAAAGAAAGCGCACGGGGTCGAAGGCCTCTTCCCCATCAGCAAAGCTCCTCTGTCAGAGTGTGCATTTACAACCAGAAGGACAGACTATCATTTGGGCTAAGGACAGAGAGTCTAGTCAACAAGGCCATACCTATTTGATCCTCATCTATAAATATAAGCTGACAACCAAGAATCAATGAACAGTTGAGGAAATCAGAGCAAGAAAGAGGTACATACTCCACGAACAGAATAACCAGCCCTAGGAAACAGAGATGAAGGGCTGTGCATCTGCAGTAAAAGAAGGGCTATCTTGAAAAAGAAACTGTGTTTGGAGATGAATCATGCTATTGCCAAATTGAACATGTCGACAGTTGGGCGGCATACCAACCAAAGAGCAAACGAGTGAGCTGAAAGACCACGCCAAGATTCTCCGGTGACACATCTAAGAAACCCTGAGAGTAGTTCACTGAGCTGAAGGAAAGACGGCGGGCGCACTGACTAATTAAACACCCAAGTCTGGCAAGGGCTTTGACATTCCAGAATGCTAAGGATAGGGAGATGCTGGAATTTTCCGGACTGGGGCGGGGGGAGGGAGAGGGAGGAGAAACAGATGAGCTCACACAAATTTGGGGATCAGATCATCAGTATCACGAGGTACCAGAAAACCAGGGAGCTCTTCTCCCAAGTTCTAAGGGCAAATGAAATTGAAGCCAGATGCTTCCATCTACCTAGACGAACTAGGGTTCAGTGCGAGAGCAAAGTCAGGGGTCTGTTAGACACTCAAGGATGTTAAGTTCACTCCTCACCTGTTCAGAAAGAATGACTCTAGGATGTACTCCAGCAGCACAAAAAATAAAACTGAAGAAAGAAAAGAAGGTGAGAGGAAGCAGAGGTGAGCAATGACCACGGTGAAACTTCCAGTAATTCAGGGGTGGCCAAATCATGACTGTGATACTTCGGGCAACTATTAGAAATAGTTTCTAAGCCAAGAGAGGCTTAATATTGCGAAAAATAAAACAGATAAACTGGAACTTAGACTTCAGACCATTTCAACAAACGAGAGGGGCATGAAGGAAGGAAAATGCAAAAATGTTACAAACCTTCTGGCAGAAGGTTCTTGTTCTTGGTGTTGTTACTTAAACTCACGAGTGTCTCTATGTTTGAACGTTTGGGGGTGACTATTAGGAAAACAGAAAAAGGAGCAAGCCAGCAGGATAACAGAAAAAAAACCCTCACGACCTCAGAGTGAGGACAGGAAGAAAGAAAAACGAAAACAATAAAGTAACACAGAGACAAGATACAAGGAACAAAACAAACTGCAAGCTCCAGCCGGGAGCTCTTTATAAGACATACGTGAGCCGCTCCTCCTCCTCACTCCAGTTCTGTCACTGAGTTTTGTGTTATTGAGATTCATGGAAGGAAGAAACACAAACCCACTTAAGAGCACGAGGGCCAATGGGGCGCTAACAGCCGAGGCCGGAGAGGAAGCAGGGCAGCGAGGTCCCGGCCACGGGGCTGCAATGCCTATGACCACCCACGCTCGCTGCATGCTTCCCGTCACGTTCAAATCCCTGTGAGAGAACAAGCTGACCGGTCCGCGGGGGACTCGTCCCCTCCAGTAAATGGACTTTTGGAGAGGCCCCCCAAGGCCGCACCCCTGCCTCAGCTGTGCCTCCCCAGGGAGTGGGAAACCTCCCCGACTTGCTGATCAACAGGGTCCGGAGAGCAGGGGAGCACCGCCATGGGCCTCAGCCTCAATGTCAAGACAGCAGGCAGCCAACTACGAAGTAAAGGGGTGCAGCTCCCAGGACGGGCGGCGGGGGTGGCCGGGGCTCAGGGAAGAGGGGCGCTGAGCCCCACGCGGTATAGACCAGGGAGAAGGGAGGGGAAAGCACAGTAAGCAGACAGCCTCCCTGAGCAGCTTTTCAGAAGCATTCTTCTTCTCAGTACTTACTGAGTTTAAAAAGAAATCAAAACTGAAATCCAGATTATTTTGGGTAGAGACAATAATCTGAAATTTCGTCTTGCAGCGACTTGATGTCCAAATAAAGAACTGGGCAACAGTGTGTCTGCGGGATGCAGTGGTGAGGCACGCAGGGGTGAGGAGCGCCGTACCTCTTTGACGTTCTGTAGGGTTTCAGGTGTAATGGTGAAGTCCACAGGACTCGGGGTCAACTTCCCCTTCTGAGGCTAAAACAGGAGGCAAAACCCAAATCAGCTGCTTGAAGCCAAGAGTTCCACAGGCCACACTCCCCTTTCCCCTTCTAGAGAAACGAAGGGCAGCATAATGAATCGGGAAGGACTTGGTACTCAGAGGCAGGTCGTGTGGGGTCTAAAAGCATAGTTCTGCCAAAAATCTATGTTGTTGTTCTTTGTCAAATTTAAAACACCCCCTGCAACTCAGTTTCCTCATCTGTAAAATGAGGGGACCCCTTGCTTAATCTCTCGGGGCCCCTTTGGGTCCAGAAATTAAAAGTTAGACCTAAGAACTGACAGTAGCATTCTTGGAAGGTATTTATCTTAAACCCCTCTTAGAACAAGAGCTGACACCAAACCAGCACGATGATGCTATGGGGTGCTGTTCCTGTCACTGGTCCCACTTCACAGACATGGACAGTGAAGCACGGCGAGCCCACATGGCTTTCTCCAGTGGCAGAGCCGAGATTCAAACCCAGGGGGCAAGGCTCCGACTGTGCTGTTAGCCACTGGGAAGCTGTCCACCGGGAAGACTCGCTCATCTAAACTATAAATGTTACCATAATTATGAATGATGGTCATCCCACATCACATAACCACAGAAGCCACCCGGGCGGCCAAGCGTCATCAGGGCCTGCCTGGCGAGGCGCACTCAGGCGCCAGGATCCACAGGCTGGGGGGGCCGCGGTGGAGGAAGGGCACTGGATGATCTGCCAAGTTTACTCATTTCCTGAAAGCGTATTCTACAATATTCTTCTTATTAACAGGTTCGGGAACACACTCTTCAGGGAACATATTCTTCCTCACAGCATTTAAAGAATTTAACTTGTCAACTAGAGCTGACACATGGTTTGGCCTTCTCATGAAATCATTCACAAAGAAGAACAGACTTCTTGGAGGCTGTGTGTTGGTAAGCTGCTGGGGAGCAGGGAGGAGGCCCCGAGACCTCTGTCCCTGCTGCGCACCCTAAGCTGGCCCGGGCGGCGGGGCTCTGCAGTCATGAGTGCACTGTGGGCCCTGGGTCCGGGGCCAAGGGGCATCCTGGCCTGGAGCCCAGCTGTGGGCAGGGAGCTGAACTTGGGCTCATTCTCCTTCACAAAGTTGGAGGCTTTTTTTGCTGAAGACATAAAAAGGTGTATGTCTCTTCTACGGAATAATCCACACGAAAAAAAATTTTTTTTTTTGCTTCAGTTTGAAGACCCTTGATAGAAAAAAGGAAAATGTCTAAATCACATCACTTCCAAAAAAAGATAACTATTTCAACACTAAAAGAAACAAACACAGTAATTATTATTAGTAAGAGGAAAACTATAAATGTTGGAAGTCCCAAAAAGTCAAAAATGATGCAAATAAAGGACATCAGTGATTTTGCCAATCTTATACACAGGCGACATAAGTCTTCCGTTTTTACTGAACCATTACTAAAAGACACCTGTGGACATTTCATAACAGTGTAAAAGAAATGCAATTGCAGATGTTCCACAAACACCAACCTGCCTCACCACGGAGCTCTGGAGAAGCCCCCACTTACTAATAAGGCCCGTGGCAAAGACTGTGGGACCCGTGCGGGGCCCCCAGGGTGATGAGTCCTGCTCAATGCCAACGAAGCTACAGGCTGCACCGGGTACATGAGCGAAGGAAAGCTAGTGGCCCTTGTGTCTGTCCAGTCTGGGTGGCACCTTGACACGGCCTGCAGCCCCATGGGATCCATACATACGTCCAGGCTCCGTTCACCCGGGCACCTCCAGGAACCCCAGTTTGGCTCTCTTCCGTCCCCAAACTGCTCAGAATTAAATCAAAGGCAGATGGACCACATTCTGAGGCTAGATGGCTCTTCAAGGAGGGAGCTAGGCTGCCGTTGGCCCCGAGAAAGGGGGCAGGACCAGCCCCGAACCAGAGGTGTGCGCACACAGCCCAGGGAGGGGAGGACAAGGCCCAGCAGCTGCTCCGATACCAGACCTGGAGAGCCCGGGGAGATAAAACAGGGGACTCCAGTGCAGTGGACATCTGTCACCACGTGTCACACCTGAAGCAGGCACTGCCTGTCACTGCTAAGTTCTGCACGATGACCAAGGAGTAGAGCAGATGGGCTGCAGGGGACTCTGCCTTGAATTCACCCACAGTTGCCTACAGCCATGGGGAAGGGGACCCAGTTCCCTAAGCTGACATATGAAAGGAAATTTTTAAGAACATTCTGTCACTGCAAAATATGAGCAGAAGGTGTTGGGAGAGGAAACCCACCCTGGCCCTGGGTGCCCCCGCGTGTCCTTGCTGGGCAGACCAAGACTGTAAGGCCTAACCCTTCTTTATCTGGGCCAAGCCATTGCTCTGGGTTGTGTTTGCCACAGCAACCTTGAGGAAGGATGTGTCTCTCTGAAGCTGACTTGCTCATTGATTGCTCTAGCAGAGGTGGGCTCCCAGCCTGGTGCTCCTCGGCTGAGGCACGAGCCCCTCAGATGCAGCGGCGTCTGGGCCACGGCAGCGCCCCGTGGGATTCTGGGCCCAGCGGGACGAGGCACACGCCAATGCTGGTGCTCTGACCCAGCCGGGAGAAACGAGATCCCTCATCTCCCGCGCACGAGTCTCTTTCACCAGCAGGAACGACAGCACCAGGCTAACGTACTAGCTTAGAAATGGGGTAAAATACCAGACCCTAGAGGAGATTCCTATGATTAAACACAGAGCCCCCCAATATAGCTTACAGCAGAGTGAACGATGAATTCGCAGGTCTTTGTCAAGTCCTTGGCCAACAGAGACCGCCTCATGTCACAGCGCAGGGTATACTGCAGGGAGAAGTCAGAGAGGTGTCACGTTAGGTGATTTGCTTACATCATGGAATTATATTCAAAGGGACACATAAGTCAACGTACTTTAGGGAAACTCGGTCCAATTACAGTGTTATTTGAAATTAATATACATAATAGGGGGAGACAATGCTCAAAATGAAGGCGTTTCTATAAAAAGACCAAAACCAAGAACACTTTAAGATGATTCCTCAGCCTAGTCCCACAGCCATCCCACAGTTGGACCCACTGGTACAGAGGCACAGGGTCTTAGCTGTAGCACAGGGAGAGAGCAGGGGGGTGGGTAGAACAGAAAAAACATGCGCTCAGAAGCGAAAGCTAGCTCAACTCCAGCGATCTTAGTGTGGGAGCCCTGACAGATGAGATGACTCGTCTGGGCTTCGGCCTCCTGCTCTGTAAAATGGGGATGTTCAGACCCGCTCGCAGCACAAGCCAAGTGAGAGTCTGGCAGACAGCAAGCTGCTCTTAGTAAAGCAGCAGCTATTTTGTAGCAAGGATTCAAAAGCACACAGGAAGGACCAGGAGCCTCAGGATAGCATCTAGCATTCCACAGAGCAAGGTAAGGCAAGTGGCATCACATTAGCTTTTAACCTAGCTGTGTTTGGTCTCTCTGCCGTCTCCGTGCTGGTTTTCTGAACGAGCCACCGCCAGTGTACCTCCCCTCACAGGGAGAGCCAGCCCCTCTGCAGAGCTGGCCCCTGAGCTAAGCGTCTGACCTGGGGCTGCTCCTTCACACCCCTGTCTGTGGGGGGACACGCTGATTGGTAACAAAATTCTACAGCATGATCATAGTCTTAATGCTAATCTTTCAAAAAAAAGTCACATAACCCATATTGAATAAAGTTAGCTGTTGTTTTAATCATCCAGATAAAACTTTAGAATACTGTTAAAAATGATTCGTGTACGGGGCGCCTGGGTGGCTCAGTTGTTAAGCGTTTGCCTTCGGGTCAGGGCATGATCTCAGGGTCCTGGGATCAAGGCCCGCATCGGGCTCCCTGCTCAGCAGGAAGCCTGCTTCTCCCTCTCCCACTCCCCCTGCTTGTGTTCCCTCTCTTGCTGTGTCTCTCTGTCAAATAAATAAATAAAATCTTAAAAAAAAAAAAAAAGATTCATGTACCTGAGACTATATCTATATGCATGGTTGACTCAAGAAGCCACATTATTATGAACAACCTATATACATTATATAAGAAGTTACTAGACATTTAAGGTGCCACCGGGAGATTAAAACACTTTTTTAAAAGAAACATCCCTTGCCTGCAAGGACCTTTTCATGTGTATGTATATATATACACGCTCCCTTCTGAGGTTTCAGTCTGGTCTCCCCAACCCAATGAGCTCAGCAAGGCCTGGTGCCGTCAGATCCGTAGAGGTGTGTGCGCCCGCATGTGCGCATGCCCGTGGTACGTGTGTGTGTATGTGTGTGCACGTACGTGTTCCGCCTTTCTCCTGTACGGCCCACACGCTGTCTAGCACGGGCAACATTTTGTCCAGGCTTGCCTGGTCTCTTGGATCCTTGTCCCAGTGGCAACTTCCCCTTCCTCATTTTTAGTCTCAGGGGTTTAGCGGGGCTGACCTCCCCCCAGCCCTCCCAGGCGGGGCTGCTCCTGGGACTGTTGGGAAGGATTCTTTCTGCCGGGGGTGCCAACCAGGAGATGGTGAGCCTGCCAGGCAGTGGCTTAGCTTGGCCCCAGCCAGGGAAGAGCCTGCCCGAGAACGAGGTCTGTGCAGAAGGCCGAGCTGGATCCACACCCGGCTTCCCTGGAGCTGCCAGCTTGGTGATCTGTGATATCTGTTTTTAGGCTAAGTCAGTTTGAGCTGGATTTCTACAACTTGCAAAGGAGTGAGAACAACAGGCATCAACTTCTGGTCACAAAATGTTTTTGAGTACGAAAGCAGTAATCAGTAATCCAGGGCAGCTGCTAAGTGAGGGTGGGGAGAAAGGTGGAGAGGAGAGGAACACACTGATGTTCTGTTCTGTGAATGACATTAATTCTTTCACATGTACCATTTGAGTGAATTACAAGGACAGTCACCAATAACTCATTTATTCAGCCATTTGGCAAATACGTACTGGGAGCATTCTATGTGCCAGGCACTGCGCGAACGAAGCTCTTCATGCCAAGACCTCATTAATCTCCTAGGAGGAGAGGTCATGAAGGCTGCTCGGGGTCACAGAGGTGGGATTTGAATTTACACCTGCTGGTTGCCAAAACCCAGGCTCTGAATTCTTACGCAATGCTGTGACTCAAGCCCAGATCTGCCTGCTGCAAAGCCCTAGATCTTTTTACTTTCTCATGATCTTGCCCAACTGCTAAGGAGGGTCCAGGTGCTGGGAGAGGTCAGAGGGGGTCAGGAAGGTCAGACTGAGCGCCAGGAGGGCGCCAGGAGGAGGTGCAGGACTGGACCTTATGAGCGTCAGTAAACACAAGGCCAACAGAAAGAAGGAGGATGCATGTCAACAGACGCAAAGCAGACTCCTAGAAAAGATCCGCTGAACTCTCAGACAGAATGACTAGCATCTGGATAAATTAATTCGGAATTACAATTTTGCAGACATGTTGGTACTGCTATAATGTTGGGTTATAGTATAAAACCTTGCTCCTGTGGCCACAAGAGTAGAACAAACATAATAAAATTTGCCTACGATTTACATAACTTTTAAAAGAAAAGGTATCTGCACAAAGGGCAACTGGGGGAAAGCAGATAGCTTCTGGTACGCATGATCTAACCACAAAGGTGAGAAACAAACACAACACGCCTGGGAAGAACAGGACCGAACAGCACCAAGCCTCCGTCTAAGGAGAGACACGGAAATCCAGACCCTGCAAGCTGGAAACATACTACACTTGCTACACCTTAAACCCTTTATTCTGTCTCATGGTTTTTACTATGTTTACATTATGTTACTACAACACAATTCAAATTACCAATGTAAAATGCCTTGGCGCCCACATAACTGGAGAAAGAGGATGTTACCAGGTTTAACAACACTTTCTGTCCCTAGTAATGTACCCGTGAATCTTCAGGGTAAACACGGCAAGCGAGGGTGCGATGGAGGGCAACGTCCTGTGGGACCCCCGGCCGTCACCATCTGCTCTGCTATAAAACAAGGAGGCTAGCAGAAGACCCCTCTAGAAACTGAACGAATGAATCAATGAATGAAAAACAGATAAAGAAAAACAAAAAACAACCCACCATCCTAGTTTCTCTGGAGAAGTATATTTTCAAGGGGCACCCGGCTGGCTCAGTGGGTGGAGCAGGCGACTCTTGGTCTCAGGGTTGTAAGTTCGAGCCCCACGTTGGGTGTAGAGATTACTTAAAAATAAAATCTTCTAAAAAGAAGAAGTATGTTTTCTCAAAAGGAGCAACAACAAATTTGAATATGAATTGGAAATGAGATGGTATTTGAGAATTTTTGCTAATTTTGATAGGTGTGAAAACACCAGCTGTGTTTCTGTAGGAGAGCGTCTCTATTTTCGGTAGATGGACAGTGAAGTAGCTCAACAAGTGTCATGATTCTGAAACTTCGAAATGACTCAGGAAAGATCAACAAAGATGAAACAAAAAGGGCAAAATTCTAATAAATGTTCAATCTAGGTGATAAGCTCTTCTAAATTGGAGGTTAGGATGAGAAGAAATCTCTTCATTTTTAGAAATCTGTGAGATATTTGGGGAGGTAGAGAATTCAAGTTGTAGCATTCCGAAGTTAACCCTCAAGGGGTAAAATGTGATGACCGAAGTAAAGGTTGGGTCTGGGTGATCCATACACCGTACTGAAGAATTCACCACCTGCTAACCCTCCAATTGCATTTTAAAGAGTTTCCAATTTACACACAGCCATGCAGGACACAAGTACAGTTTTTTATGTACAGTTGACTCTTGAACAACGTGGGGTGAGGGGCGCCGATCCCTGCAGTCAAAAATCCATGTATAACTTGTGACTTCCCAAAAACATAACTACTGAGAGCCTATTGTTGACCAGAAGCCTGACCGGTAACATCAGATATTTTGTATATGTATCATATACTGTATTCTTCCAATAAAGTAAGCTAGAGAAAAGAAAACCATAAGGAAAAGAACATACATTTGCACTCTAAGAGATCCAGGTAAAGGGGATCCACACAGTTCAAACCCATGTTGTTCAAGGGTCAACTGTACATCTGCATGCCCTTCCTGGCAATATTTGGAAAAGGGTGGGATTTCCAATTTGATTTTTTTTTAAAGACTTTATTTTTTAAAGTAATCTCTACACCCAACATGGGGCTCGAACTCACAACCCCGAGATCAAGAGTCATGTGTGCTCGACCGACTGAGCCAGCCAGGAGCCCCTCCAATTTGATTTGAAACAAATTAATCTCTTAACAAGAACGATGAACACTGGAGGAAGGCACAAGAAGTATGACCAGTGGGCGCCTGGGTGGCTCAGATGGTTAAGCGTCTGCCTTTGGCTCGGGTCATGATCCCAGGGTCCTGGGATCGAGTCCCGCATCAGGCTCCCTGCTCCTTGGGAGCCTGCTTCTCCCTCTGC